ACATTATAAATGAATGAAACTAGACACAAAAGCCCACATTATATGATACAACCTATATTAATTGGAGAAAGGGTCAACATATTGGAACCAAATGTAAATTAGTAGTGGCTTGTAATTAATAATGAGAAAACTAACTGAAAAATAGCATGACTGAATCTGGGGGTGATAGAATCCTTCTGTATCTCTGATATGGTGGTATTAAACAGATGCATATATTTGCCAAAATCCATTAACTGGATAGGAATGGTGCAGACCTTTAATCCAAGCATTCTGGAGGCAAAGGCAGTTGGATCTCTGTGGGTTTGAGGCCAACTTGGGCTATATAATGAATTCCATGTTAGCCAGGGCTACATAGTGTGATCTTGTCTCCATAACCAAAACCAAATCATTAACTAAGCTTTTCAAATAAATTAATTTTATCTTGGTAAATTATATAGCCAATAAAAGGTATTTTAAGCCAGCTTTATTTGTAGAAATTTAGAAATTTTGGGGAATATGACTTATTAGAAAGTAAGAAGTAATCATGGCTTTTCTTGAGTCTGGTATTCAAAGTTTGCATTTTTAGCCTGTTATAAGGAAAGATCATAAATACAGTTAACAGTGTTTTCTCACCTGTGTGGGATATTAAGCAGGGAGCAGTTTACTTGCTACCTATGAAGTGTCAGTCTCTTCATTTGCCATCTTCTTACCCTTCCTTCCTTTCCACATCCTATTTGGTTCCTTCTTCTCTGTTTTAGCTTCTACTTTGCTTTCTCCTCCAAGTTTCTCATAAAAACTCATATACACATGAGAATTTCTATATCAGTAAATTTTAGGGTCTACATATTAGGCTGAAGCTATGATACATTCTTAAAAATCATTTCTGCTTTCTTTCCTTCTTTTATGGGCCATATTCTTCTGTGTAGAGACCGAGAAACCTGACTCTGTCCCTATGATGCTTCTAACTCTGTGTCATCATATTATATTTTGCATTCTTTACGTCTTACAGTATTTTTTTTTAGAATTTTGCAATTGTGGAAATGAAAGTAATAATCTCCAATGGAAATATTATTGTATTTAATCCCATCTATGCATTTATTAAAAAATATTTGATCACTTACTATATTATAGAGAGCTTCTCTTATAGACTACAAACTGTAGCCACAACCCCAAATATCTCAGAGTTGTTAGGGCAGGAATCAGCCTTTCTTAGTGTGCTATTATTGTGAAGAGTTGTAATGACCAAAACAGTTCATATAAAAGAGGGTATTTAATTGGGGCTTGCTTACAGTTTCAGAGGATTATTCTATTATTTTCATAGGAGAGAGAGAGAGAGAGAGAGAGAGAGAGAGAGAGAGAGAGAGAGAGAGAGAGAGAGAGAAGAGGGGGAGGAAAGAAGAAAGAGAGGAGAGAAGAGGGCCATTGATTTATTCCCATGGCACCTGCCTTCTCATACCATTCCACATCTTGCCTTTCATCACCTCTGGATAAGGTCATTTATTATGGGCCATCAATGTATTAAGCTAATGATTAGGTTACTAACTCCATGATCCAATCATTTCCCAGTGACTGGATACATCAGGTAAAAGCCAAGACTTTCATACACAAATCTTTGGGAAGACAGTTTATAGACAATCCTCAATTAATTAGGACTTAAATTTTATTGGGAGACTTAAAAATCTGAATTAATATCTAACATAAATTCTAAAAGAAATGAAAAATAACCACACACACCTATAATAACATAGCAAAATGAACTTTGGTGATTTTCTGTATGGAAGTCACCATTTGAATTGGGCACCTGAAACATCTGGATCAATTCATCCAATATGTAGGCAGCAATGAAGTGCATGTCTGTTTGGATTGTCCTCCATAATTTCCTGGTTCTTAGACAAAACTGTCCAGTATTTGTCTGCTGATCATTGAACATGGATCTGAATACAGAAAGGATAGGACATAACCTTCTTCAGTGCTTTTATTTCTTTTTTCCTTTGTTTTATTTAAATTACAACAATATCATTTTACATATCAATACTAGTTCCCGCTCCCTTCCATTTTCCCATGCCTCCTACCAACACCCTATCCCACCCCCATCCACTCCCCAGAGAGAGTGAGGCCTTCCATGGGGCTA